GGAAAATTAACTATTGCGGAAGTGAGTTCTTATTATCTATATTTATACGTATATCATCAATTGATTTACCGTGTGAATTTGAATACGTTTGTGATTGTGACAGACGTCGTTTATTTGTATCCTTATAAAACAATCATCAAATGTTTTTTTTACAATAAATCTCTTATTTTAAACATATTTATTGTCAAGCGAAGGCAAGGGATTAGGCGCAAGATATTTCAACTTATCAACGCCTTCTCCCAATATACATTTTAAATGGCATGAAATAAGCATATACAATTGTAAATACAATTTGAGCTCCAAATCTCTGGCCGGATTTGATAAAGTTATGCGCATATCTAAAAATGTTTTTGTTAAGGTCCACGGAAAATTGTAAATCACCAAACAAAATAATATCCAAATTTAACACTACATTCAAATTAATTAAATTTTGAACCAGAATACGTCATTCGTTTGTAAAAAGGTGACATTCGAAAAAGTAGTGAAAGACATTCTCACAGGAATGATCATGATTACAAGCTGCACTTTCAACAGGGTTCACTCTAAAGATACACTCTAAAGAGTGTCATAATGATTAAATTCACATATGACTCTCATTTTCTACATACAATACACATGATAATACAGTGAAAACTTGTTTCATTTGGTACCTCGTTTACCTCCAACATATTTCTATATCCCGTTTTCTTGTTTTCTTAATAGTTCCTGTATACATTTCCCTCAATTTATTGCCGAACCCCTTTATGACTCCAAATTTTTCTCTGGACAAATGTTGGCGAGGTTTTACTGTATAATTTTTGCCAGTTAGATGCAATTTACCGTATTCAATCAACTTCATAAAACTGACATGTTTCACATTAGACAAATATTAAAAGTGATTTTTTTGTGACCGCAAAAATGGATCAATCTGAACAGTACTCCCTATTCATTTTATTTCAACCTGCAGTATTTCGGTTCTGCTATAGATGAGGCGATGGTAAAATAAGAGCTTGTTTTGTACACTTTTGATTTATATAAATTAGGTGTTTATGTAATAATTGATACTAGTTATGTCAGGATATTTTACCAAATAATTGCAGAAAAAAATAGAACTATCTTGAGTATCCCCACTCAAAATGGCGAACAGACTGGTTGTCAAGCGTGACGTCATTAAAATATGGCGCCAAAGATTATGCTATTAAATATCCAACTGTTTAGATTAAGTAACACCTCCGTCGTTGTAGATAGAGTTAAAATGTAACCCATTAAGGAAACATATTTTTCCACATTGAGTATAATATACTTTATATATGTATACATGTATATACCAATGCTATGGCAGTACATACTGTATATTCGCGGGAAACGGGAAGGTTTATCGTGTGTGCTATTCTGGCTTAAACTGGCCCCTAAATCGACCTCAGCATATTAATCCGACTACTCAGTTAATATACGTGTATGTGTAGTCCTATTGTTCAGTTTCAGTGTGTAATTGACTGATCACCAATTTTGTCTTAATCTCGAACAAAATCTTACAATTTACTCCGGAGTTAGACATTTTTGCGGCATTGGTTAATTCGTGATTGAATCTTTCCATGAAAAGGCGCGAAAATAACACTGCCGCAAAAATCACCAGGTCCACGGAAACAGTGAAATGTGATCCATACATTTTGATACAAAGTGCAATATCTATAACTGCGTTTCCTACTTTTATATAGGTCTTACATATATAGCCATGTCGATAGCCAGACAAACGCTTATCAGTGTTTACGAAATTTAAGAGGCACGGTAGTCTATTGGTAGGGCGCCGGGCTCGTGACCGAAGAGTTGCGGGTTCGAGTCATGGCACGGCAATGTGTTGTATCTCTGAGCAAGATACTTTACGCCGCTTGTTCCAGTCTACTCAGCTGTAAATGAGTACGTGGTTGGGCAGTGCTAGAATTGTTGAATGCTATAGCTGAGAGCGCCGAAATGGCAGCACCGGTTGTATGCTCCCCAGGGAGTTGAGAAATGTACTGGCCGATGACAAAGGCCATATAACCACGGATAATAATTTGTGAACCGCTTTGAGACGACCTACGAACTAGGTTGTGATAAAGCGGTATATACAAACCTCAAATTATTATTATTGATTATAACTTGATGTGGTTGGCACGTCGAAAAAGACCGATAACACGTAGTTCTTTAAATGTTTCTTAAAATAGATAAAAGATAGAAAGGGTTTACGAACGATTCGGACACCTATTCTATATTAAACAAATCTATCAATTGGAAAATGAATACACCCATGGAGATCAATTGTTTTGATTTAGATATCAGGTAATTTTATCAATATTTTGTCTATGCGAATTTCAAGGGTAACGCTCTCTTACGCTCTCTGCACCCCTAGAGTATGTCATGATGAAATCTAACGCACTGCACGCGCCACCTTGTGGATGGTCTTAATAGACTAATGTACGTGATCCTTGTATGTACATCAAAAGAATCGCTCGGTACCTTGTGGATGGTCTTACATTATAATAGACTAATGTGGTCCTTGTATGTACATCAAAAGAATCGGTCGGTACCTTGTGGATGGTCTTACATTGTAAAAGACTAATGTGATCCTTTTATCTGCATCAAAAGAATCGGTCGGTACCTTGTTGATGGTCTTACATTGTAATAGACTAATGTGATCCTTGTATGTACATCAAAAGAATCGCTCGGCACCTTGTGGATGGTCTTACATTTTAATAGACGAATGTGATCCTTTTATCTGCATCAAAAGAATCGGTCGGTACCTTGTTGATGGTCTTACATTGAAATAGACTAATGTGATCCTTTTATCTGCATCAAAAGAATCGCTCGGCACCTTGTGCTTGGTCTTACATTGTAATAGACTAATGTGAACCTATTATCTGCATCAAAAGAATCGGTCGGTACCTGGTGGATTGTCTTACATTGTAATAGACTAATGTACGTTATCCTTTTATATACATCAAAAGAATCGCTCGGTACCTTGTGGATGGTCTTACATTGTAATAGACTAATGTGATCCTATTATCTGCATCAAAAGAATCGGTCGGTACCTGGTGGATGGTCTTACATTGTAATAGACTAATGTACGTTATCCTTTTATATACATCAAAAGAATCGCTCGGTACCTTGTGGATGGTCTTACATTGTAATAGACTTATGTGATCCTTTTATGTACATCAAAAGAATCGGTCGGCACCTTTACGGTAAAATTGACATGATATGATGTCGGATGTCGCTCCTCTGTAATCTGTTGGCCGGTTTTTTTTCACCTAAAACCAATCAAATAGCTAACCGCGTGCCTTCGTTTTTGTCATGACATTTCCAGGGGAGAACTTAAGTTGACGTAACCCCTGGCATTTTTGGGATGCAAATATCATAGACGACAGTATAAGTCCTTGTTACAATCTCATCAAGTTAGTGTACGTCCTGATTGGGGGCCGCGGTGGCCGAGTGGTTAAGGCGTCTGAAACTCTGCTAACATAAGCCCTGCACCACTGGGTCGTAGGTTCGAGGCCTACGTGGGGCAGTGGTCGCAGGTTAGTAGTTTTTCTCCAGGTACTCCAGCTTTTATCCACCACCAAAACCTGACACGTCCTTAAATGACCATATCTGTTAAAAGGACGTAAACCACAAACAAATAAGACCTGATTAACAGAACACTAAAGACACTCGTGTATTCTAGATTTGAAGTATAACATCTCGTTGGCTGCTTTAGACAAAGTTTGTAAAATTATGCATTTCAACTGGATATGACAGTCAACTTTTACATCAATTTTATTGATAATTCGTGACATAATGTACGGGTAAGATATGACAGTCAGCTTTTACATCAATTTCATTGATAATTCGTGACATAATGTACGGGTAACTAAAATGGAACACTTTTTACAGAAAATATATCAATATTTCCTACCTAGTTTCTGGAAAAAACATTTGTTTTTGTAACCATATTGAAACAATAAATGCCTTTAGATTTCTTATCTGTATTTCCCGGGTATCAACAGCGCGTGTGTCTATTAATAGTGCCCTTTTAGTTGAGTCAAGTTCACTGGAAAGTTTTAGCTTGTCGGGTACTTAAAACGGAACACATCACCATATGAAAATAAACAGACAGCATTTAAAATATTTTGTCTTCATTTCAAGAAAGTTTTGGCACTTTCTGATATTGGTTAATCATGTATTCATTAAAATATTCAATTGCAAGGATATTTTCTTAAAATGTGTTAAGATATTAGCGTGTCGTATTTTGAAAGTTCCGGGAAAACCTTTCATTTAATGTTTTTCATTTTTCAGTCGGGTTATTGTGCTCCATGCCATACTCTATAATTTTCTTATTCAGAACAGACATTCATTTGTATTGCAAAATATAAATGATATATCAGTCATATGTTCCATTTTGGGTACCGTTCCTTTTTAAGTCCTCTGACGATAATTATTAAATTTAAGATGTTATTCAAAAATACATCTGGTTATCATATATTTTCTAACATATCTGCCTTTTTTTCAAGTGTGGTACTTCAAGCGTGGCACTAGTCATATCTCGACCCGATCCATATCTGCCCTTCACGTGTCATATCTGCCCTTCACGTGCCATATCTGCCCTTCACGTGCCATATCTGCCCTTCGCGTGCCATATCGGCCCTGTACGCCTTATATCCGATCTACTTCCGGAACAACTGATCCGGAAATTGAGATAATAAGATTGACATGTTTTTAAGTGTTATTGTTGATAACTGTTACTTTGCATTTTTATAATAATAATTATTGAACTTGTATAGGATATGATACACTTAGTATATATAAAACCATTTTCGTATCCTATTCCATATCCCTATGGATTTCGGGTTCATATTGGGTAGGATATGAAATGAGCCGAACGATACCTCTTATTGAGCTGTGAAGTGCTATTTAATTTTCACATTGGAACATTTATCGATATTCAAACGAATACAATCGATGATTCACAGTCTTTTGGTACCTTTGGGCTTCTGTTTTTTTTCAGTCCGTCTAGTGAGTGATTCGACCAAACGCTCCGGTATCGTGGAGCAATATGAGGGAAAGCTATGGAAGCCAGTATGTGGAGACAACTGTTGGACAAACAAAACCGCTAATTTCGCCTGCAAGGAATTACAATTCATGTATGTAATCAAATTAATTTTAAGATTGCAGCTGCACTTGTTTATAGCATTAACCATTTGTAATTACAGTTTACTTAAAAAAAATAATTTATGTGCGATGTAAATAGCATAGGTCACGTGGTTGTGCATGCTGCCAGTGACCCTCAATCAAATAGGAAAATGTAAATGGAAGCTTTAGTAATCCTGTTTTTCGGACTAGTAATTTCTACATATGACAAGATTAAGAGACGGCTTGCTACAAAGTTGAACGATAAGCGGATTCCCTTTTGTTGACTCTTCAATATTTCTTGTTTTCATCTGTCAGGTTGTTATTTAACAGGGAGGTGTTTTGATGAATGTGTGAATCAACTTACGATCTGGTCAAAGTACATTTATTTATTGTTTACTGGCAGTTAATTGCTATTTATCAAATAGAAGACAATGCAATACACTGGAATATCATTGATGTGAATTAAATTATTAACGATTGGGGTTGGTATGGTATATTTGTTTAGAAGACTGTCATTAAAGGGTCATAACTCCCTATAATCAATCGAAACAACATGTCAAAGTATTATGTGATTAGTAAAAAGTGTAAAAAGTTACAAGTACTTTACAGGTGCTTCATTTCTCCGTATTTGTAGTGTTTTGTATGTGACATGGTGGTTGACTCTGCTGGCGGACTTATAGTCCCTAAAATTGGCATAATAATAAGCCCCGTTTCTTTACGCCACTCTGTCACACTTGACATTAATTAATAATTTACGTCTGTTGTCTTAATGTGATTGCATGTGTAAAGCTGATTTTGGACTTTGGTATAATATATGTTTCTGTATATGAAGCTATTGCGATGTTACCATAATCTTGTGGTTTGTAATGATTTTAAATGAAATCTGAACATATATATATACACATGTATCGATTAAGGGAAAATTAGGTCATAGTGAAATGTTATGATCCCGGAGTTTGAATTATACTCTGAAAATAATAGATATTTATAACATCAAATAATAGATACAGCGAACTATCTTAATTACGTTCATCTTGATTATTTTATATTATCCATCGCGACTGTTATTTGTACAATGCCCAACTATAAGCTACCATATACATACTGTTTGATATAGGACAGTAAACGTATTCCCCCTTCGTTTGCACGGTTTAAGTATTGATATACGGCCTTCGATATTAGCATAATTTGGGTTTCTGTTTATCAAGTGGAGGAATAAAGCGTTCCGAAGACACAACAAAAGTGACTGGTAACCATGGTAACGATACTTCTGGTGGATACAACTGCACATATTTACATAACTGTTCCAAAATCAACAGAACATGCGAATTGAACGACTGTTCGTCAAGGGCTCACGTTACATGCATAGGTGAGTTAACGCTCATTAATAAGATTTCTAAATTCTGTTGGCTTTTCATCATTTTGATGACACGTAATTTTGAAATGCTTCCAAAAAAGAGTTCACTGTACGTTTTTTTTATTAGGTGCAGTCCGGCTAGTTGGTATCAAAACACAAAGGGCTGCGGTTGAGGTCTTCCGGAAAAACAGTAAGGGTAAATTGAAGTGGGCTGGTGTCTGCTCGAAATGCTGGTCTCAAAACAACACTAATGTGATATGCAAACAGTTTGGCCTCAGGTAAGTTGCATGGCACAAATGTCAAAGATAAATCGAGGCTGCGAGGCTGTTCCCAATTCTAATCTCGGACTAAGCTTCTGTAATATTCCAAACTCGGCTTGCGCCTCGGGTTGGCTAATGTTACCGGATCTCGCTCAGTTACACGTTTATACTTTAGTTAGTCTTTGATCGACCCTGAAAGTTTACTGTAATAAAATTAAGAAAATTACACACTGTTTCAGAGTATTAGCAGTGAAAATGTAAAGGAGAAGGCCAAAAACTGTCCATTCTGTGAGAGAGTGGACTGATCGATGCTCGTAAGGTAGAATGGACATTTTGAGGTTTTTCTCCTACTAAAAATACAGTGTCCCTTTGTATTAATAATGGACACATTTTGTGTTAAGAATGGACAGTTACTGAACAATAGACAGGTAATGATGCTGACAATGACGAGGTGCATGAGTGTATGCGTAATAGGGCATATACTTTGTATTGTAATTAATTATTACTAATATACATATTGTAGGCATTATGTTTTGTTATACATGTTTTGTATTTGCATATGTTGTCTGGTGTGAAAGATGGTGTAAGGACCTTTAATGAATCTGCCTGTGTTTTGACATGTACTTACATATATAAATGTACCTGTGTGTGCATGTAAGTGAGTGAGTAAGTTGTTGACACCTGACTAAGGACGGACCATACGATTGGTCAGGACGGATGCCTCAGTTTACCTGTGTAAATGCTTTGGTCAACTTGGGGACTCTGCTCCTGACCAGCTGAGGTGAACCATATGTTTTGTATGTTGAATTTGGGGAAAACTGGTCAAGTCTTTAGTTGGGTTTTTTACATGAGGAATAAACATATACAAAGAATACCCGGATCCTGGTTGTTTTGTGAACCCCGGTAACATATGCAGCATGCGCTATGGTTATTCATGCATTAATGTATATTGTGAACTTATTGGGCAGATTTCCCCCATTTCATCAATATTCTTATTTTGAAATAATTATTAGATTACCGTATTCCCTCATCATGCAGTTGAACAGCATTGTGTTGGATTCATTTTTAATTTAACTCCCTTTTCCTCATTAAAATTCAACAGTGATACGGTCAGCTGGATTATTTATGGATCAAAAATAACTATCTGTAGTGCTTCGATGGATAATATTTGATATACATAGAGAATAATACATGCTATTGGTCGAGGGTTGATACTGGGTGTGATATGGAAAAAGGCGTGTTTTATTCTGTTTATTACATACTTACTAATAAAAACTACTATCTTATGATTTATTTTAATTTTTGAAATATTGAAAAACGATTTTTTTTCCAAATGGGGTGTGATATGGGTTTTGCGGGCTGATATGGGTTTTGGGGTGTGATACGGCGGGGGCTGATACGGGTTTTGGGGTGTGATACGGCGAGGGCTGATATGGGTTAGAGCAATTGTGTCGTATCGCATATACAAAAAACCCGTATTTATTAGTAAGTATGTAATAAATACATGTAATTAGATGAGAATTAGATGCCAACTAAGTCTGTGGTACATACGTGTATGTCTAGCAAATCAATTTGTTGAATAAATTAATTGGGGATTTTCTTCTGAAATGCTGGTTCGTATTTCAGGTATTTTTGTTACTTGTAACTGTCCATTGTTATACATTATATTGTAGAACGTACAACGAAATACCAGTAGCTGTCCATTATTAAACACAGTAATGGACAGCTACAGCTTAATAATGGACAGCTACTGTACGTTGTACGTTCTACAATATAATGTCTTAAAGAACAAAGGATGACATCACAGCTGTGTTTTAAGGGTTGCGAACGCAATATATTGAAATCGATTAGACACCAATACGCTACGCAGTAAATAATAATAATATACAACATTTGATATAGCACCCTATCTAGCTAGAATAAGACACTCTAAAGCGCTTTACAGTACACAGATATATAATTTATAGAATCAATCTAATTAGAATATACATTAATCAATACAATTGATACAATTATCAGGCGCTAACTACTAGTCCTATGCCACCTTGCTAATATCTCCCTATGTGTGTATGCCTGCGTGTGTACTGAAGATGTATTGTTAAAACAATGATAGGAGGGCATACTCCTTCGTATTTTATCACAATACATAAGCTTTCAAAATTGTCTAAGATTTTCAACATCGGTTTGTTTGAACAGGTCTGGTGAATTACAAGCTGGAACGATTAAAAATGCAAGTAAAACTGTATGGAAACACGTGAACTATTCCTGTTCTGGTAACGAGACGGATATTTCTGATTGTCCTACGACTGAGGAGGAGTGTAAAAAATGTGGCAATGGAACAGTCATCGTGAAGTGTCACCCAGGTTAAGTATGACATCAGAATCATTGTTATAAAACATGGACAATATGGTTGTAGGCTAATTTCATTTCATCACAGTAATCCAGCAGAATATCAATATCGATCAGTAGTTTTGTATCCCAGCACCCTTGTTGTCACAAATGCATTAAAATGTATAAACGTAAAACAGAAAAATGTCTCGTAATGTTTTGACATTTTGCAATACTTACTTTATTATCAAATTAAACAATTCCTATAACTATACATTGACCCTTGTTCTGTTACAGACTTGGGTTACAACCAGACGTGTACAAACGACGAAAGCTGCATCAGTGGATTAGTTTGTAAACAAACGGACAACAATGTTTGTAGGTGTGAAAACGAGGCTAGCTCATTTTGGAATGCAGATAAGAAAGCATGCGAAGAAAGTAAGTTTAATTGGTTTGTTAAGTTTATGAAGTAAAAATATATCCTTGTCGTGTTCATGCGCTATCTTCATAATAAGCATTGTGACTCTTTCAATTGCAAAAGATATTTAAACTATTTGTAAATCAAACACAGATTAATAGTGACTAACTTTGTTTAATGTGTTAAGTAGCAAATAATAATAACAAAATGCCAATATTTATGATATTGCGATGTTTCTGACTGTTTATTCTACTTTTGATTAACATTTCTCTTCACTGATTGGACCTTGCTAAAAGTTTCAGTACAAAAGCATTTTACTCGAAAGAAACAGATTTATGATATCGTTAAATATTTTCATCACATAATATATACTAACAGTCACGTTTTAACTAAAGAAAGTGATGTTTCTCTTTATAAAGGGTCGAATCTTGAGCAAAATTGTACATTCAACATGTACAACAGCTGCAAAGACACTTTGGTATGCACAGGGGACGCAACTAGCGCAGTTTGCAAAAGCAAAAATGATGGCGTGGGGACAGGGGAGGAAGCAGATGGCAGAAAGAGTAGGTTGATAAATGATATATTTTTTTATGTACACAGCATGGTATGAGGTCGGAATTCACAGAGATAATAATAGTAAATAATATTCTGGTTCATTGTTATACTTTTTAGATTAAAATATATTTAACTTTATTTATTTAACAACAATTATATAACAAGTTTCAGAAATTAATAATTCCTGTTGGCCTGGATGGTAGCGCGCAGAGGATCTTAAACTGTATCCTGATTTATTTGCTATATTACACTATGAAAACACCGAAGAAGAAATATACTAATTACAGTTAGTTCGTTTTTAGGTCCGAAGGTAAAACGTCAAGTCACTTATTTTCGTCATGTATAAATTTGGTTTCCGCTCTATTTCTCGACTTCCATTAGACTGGTCCAACTCAAGCTTCCTCCACTTCTTCCATATGGGAGTTAGCTTGAGATTTATATTTTGTGTCCGGAGGTTAAATGGTAAGGTAATTGCACTTATGAAAGCAAGCACAATCTGTGCAACATTAATATCGTGGTACATGTATTCGCCTCGTAATGTTTTGACAATTTGCAATACTTACTTTATTATCAAATTAAACAATTCCTATAACTATACAATGACCCTTGTTCTGTTACAGACTTGGGTTACAACCAGACGTGTACAAACGACGAAAGCTGCATCAGTGGATTAGTTTGTAAACAAACGGACAACAATGTTTGTAGGTGTGAAAACGAGGCTAGCTCATTTTGGAATGCAGATAAGAAAGCATGCGAAGAAAGTAAGTTTAATTGGTTTGTTAAGTTTATGAAGTAAAAATATATCCTTGTCGTGTTCATGCGCTATCTTCATAATAAGCATTGTGACTCTTTCAATTGCAAAAGATATTTAAACTATTTGTAAATCAAACACAGATTAATAGTGACTAACTTTGTTTAATGTGTTAAGTAGCAAATAATAATAACAAAATGCCAATATTTATGATATTGCGATGTTTCTGACTGTTTATTCTACTTTTGATTAACATTTCTCTTCACTGATTGGACCTTGCTAAAAGTTTCAGTACAAAAGCATTTTACTCGAAAGAAACAGATTTATGATATCGTTAAATATTTTCATCACATAATATATACTAACAGTCACGTTTTAACTAAAGAAAGTGATGTTTCTCTTTATAAAGGGTCGAATCTTGAGCAAAATTGTACATTCAACATGTACAACAGCTGCAAAGACACTTTGGTATGCACAGGGGACGCAACTAGCGCAGTTTGCAAAAGCAAAAATGATGGCGTGGGGACAGGGGAGGAAGCAGATGGCAGAAAGAGTAGGTTGATAAATGATATATTTTTTTATGTACACAGCATGGTATGAGGTCGGAATTCACAGAGATAATAATAGTAAATAATATTCTGGTTCATTGTTATACTTTTTAGATTAAAATATATTTAACTTTATTTATTTAACAACAATTATATAACAAGTTTCAGAAATTAATAATTCCTGTTGGCCTGGATGGTAGCGCGCAGAGGATCTTAAACTGTATCCTGATTTATTTGCTATATTACACTATGAAAACACCGAAGAAGAAATATACTAATTACAGTTAGTTCGTTTTTAGGTCCGAAGGTAAAACGTCAAGTCACTTATTTTCGTCATGTATAAATTTGGTTTCCGCTCTATTTCTCGACTTCCATTAGACTGGTCCAACTCAAGCTTCCTCCACTTCTTCCATATGGGAGTTAGCTTGAGATTTATATTTTGTGTCCGGAGGTTAAATGGTAAGGTAATTGCACTTATGAAAGCAAGCACAATCTGTGCAACATTAATATCGTGGTACATGTATTCGCCTCGTAATGTTTTGACATTTTGCAATACTTACTTTATTATCAAATTAAACAATTCCTATAACTATACAATGACCCTTGTTCTGTTACAGACTTGGGTTACAACCAGACGTGTACAAACGACGAAAGCTGCATCAGTGGATTAGTCTGTAAACAAACGGACAACAATGTTTGTAGGTGTGAAAACGAGGCTAGCTCATTTTGGAATGCAGATAAGAAAGCATGCGAAGAAAGTAAGTTTAATTGGTTTGTTAAAGTAAACATATATCCTTGTCTTTCATATTAAGCATTGTGACTCTTTCAATTGGAAGTAGTGTTTAATGTTTCGCATTGGCAATATTTTGTTAAATGATATTATGTATATTATTGGAAATAAAATATTCGAGTTTGGATATATTCGCGTTAATTTACTGAACACAAAAAACGCATGCATTCCCATACCCCGAAAATTTCCGCTTTTACGGGAATGATTGAATGAGCGGTATGTTGTAATATTTCATAAACCATCGTAGTTATAGAGGTTCCATAACGAGTGGCGTTGGTTTATCATGAATACCCAACTCTCGTTGATTTTCAAACTTTTTGAAAGACACGAGATTAAGCGAGTGTCTTTTTTTTAAAGTTCGAAAATTAACTAATAAGTGTAGTTCCAACAACACTGCAGGTTATGGTAGAAAACTTTTTTTCTATGAAACTTTTTAGCACACGCCAATTACAAAAGTATCATTCTATTTGCATATTGACATTCCTTAAATGACATAAATTGTAGTAATAATAACTTCTTCTCTTATAATAAATATTTAAATTCCAAATACACACGTTTGAAAATATACGTGTTTTCCAGAACTTTAATGTTATGGTATTATAATTCATTCTGAGTTATCCTGTAGTGTTTCGAGTTGGCGCCATGCAGGCTCTGTTCCGATATTTACAATCGCGATACAGAATATATTCAAATGATTTGTATAACAAACACAGCTTTATAGTGACTTTTTTTATGTTAATGTGTTCAGTAGCTAATAATGGTTACATAATGCCAATTGTTATGATATTGCAATATCCTCCTATACTGATTAGAACTTGCTGAAATTTTCATTACAAAAGAATGAAAATAGGTTTGAGCACAGAATCCGTACTAGAGTAAGAAAACGGTTAACAGTAACATGCATACGGTTCCTGTTCCTTGTCTTGAACCCATGGCAATACATGATGCGTCAAGTTGGATTATACAAATATATTGATAAACATATCTTTTCAAATTTTGCTCAACTAATAAAAGCTTATTTGAACTTGCTGAAAGTTTCATTACAAAAGCATTTTACTCGAAAGAAACAAATTAATGATGTATATTTTCCTCGTAAAATGTATACTAACAGTCACATTTTAACAAAACGTGTTGATATTTCTCTTTATAAAGGATCGGGTCTAGGGCAGAAATGTACATTCAACAGCTGTATAGACACTTTGGTATGTACAGAGGACGCAACTGGCGCAGTTTGCAAAATCAAGAAAGATGACGTGGGGACAGGGGAGGAAGAAGACGACCAAGCGAGTAGGTGATATAGTTTGTATGTACACAGCATGGTATAAGGTCCGAATTCACAGAGATGACAGTAGTAAATAATGTTCTGGTTTATTCTTACACTTCTTATAATGTATTTAACCTTATTTATTTTACGACAATAATGAAACAAGTTTAACAACTTTTATAAATCACTCGTGTTGGCCTGGACGGTAGCGCGCAGGGGATTTTTTTGTGGAGGAAGCCGGAGTACCCAGAAAAAAACCGACGTGGTCGGGCAGGTGACCAATGACTTTTCACGTGTTTTTATTAAATATTGATACTTATATATTTCGAAACATTTTATGGCACGTTTCGAGAACAATGGCCCATGAGCTGTCTTTATCTGGGTACATGTACAATGAATTTTCTTTTACTGTTTCAGTTACAAACGGTTTTTATTTTTATCATTTCTCCTAAATTCCTGTTTGTTTTTGGGTTTTTTGTGCATCCTTTCTAAAGTGTCCCGATAAGTTCGTAAATAAATTCTAGCTCATATATATGCTGACACATGTATTAATATGTGATCCCAGAACTATCTTCTTAGGGGACATTGAAGATCTTGGGATTAAGATTATAGAGGAAAAGTGTCTGTTATGCCCCTTACAAAGATCATTCTGGAGCGAAATATTACTCTAGTATGAGCAAATGAGGTCGACGTGAATTGGTCACATGCCATTTTATGCCTCAGTAATAATGTAGCTCATAGCTCTTTTGCAAATTTCGAATTTGTCTATTGTGTGACATTAAAGTGACGTAAACGCCATCACAATATATAACCATCTGTGAGAGATGATCTTTTTGTAATGGCCCTTACAAAGATCATTCTGGAGCAAAATATTACTCTAGTATAAGCAAATGAGGTCGACGTAAATTGGTCACATGACAACATGCCATTTTATGCGTCAGTAATAATGTCGCTCATAGCTCTTTTGCAAATTTCGAATTTATCTATGGTGTGACATTTAAGTGACGTAAGCGCCATCACAATATGGAACCATCTGTGAGAGATGATCTTTTTGTAAAGGCGAACTGTGAAGTAGCCTCTGAGGAGACACGATCAGAAATTAAACAAACACTAAGCATGTCAGGTACCTAAGGACATCACTGTTGGTTGGCACAAACCTAACAGAATCAATGACATAATTATAATCGGTGAATTTAGTGTAATTTTACAATCTAATATTAAGTATATTCTGGTATACTGTATGAAAACAGTACTGGCGATCATTGTTATTTTAGACTTGTCTAAAAATAACTGATATCGATCCAGTTAAATCTACTTCAAATACCTTGTCGTGAACAGTAGCATCGTAACAACAAGAATGTAAAAAATAATAACAATAACGTCATACAAAATCAAAATAATCGGAATTTGAATGAATGATTATTTGTCGTTACACGTATATTGAACGCTGAAAAATTAAGAGGGGATCACACAATTGAACATTAGCGATGTACATGTATTAGTAAAATACATGTACTTAAGTTATGAAAATGGCGAGCAGCAGATTAATTTTGATTCTCAGATTCAATTCATTCCCAAAAGTTAGCATGGGTCGTTATGTTTAATGTTTCTATTTTTAGATCTGCCTATTTACGTCGGTGTGCCCATCGGTTGTCTGGTTGCTATATCGGTCATTGTAATTACTGTCTGGTATTGCAAAAGGTAGGTCCCACTCAATGTCTTTCGTGCCATGTCCTTAAAATCCGATTTTTATTTCATTTCATGATCATTTGTTCTAAATATTATTCATATTGTAGGAATTGGGACACCGGAAAATTCTATAGATCACTCTCTTTATCACGATACGCCAGTCTATTCACATCACAATGATAGTAAGGATATAGAAATTCTGATGTTTTTCAATATAAGTATGACATTATTATGTTCTATTTTATTTATTGAATATGCATTTATTTATCATTAATCTACTATTTATTTATTATTTAATCAGTTATTAATTATTTATTTATCATTTGTCTAATTCTTATAAATTTAATAATTACTTTCTTATCAATTTATTTGTTTCATGAATTATTTATCGCCTATTTATTATTCATTTAATTAATTTATCAATAATTATTTATTTATTATTGTTGTATATATTTATTTATTATTCATTTATTTATGTGGTGGTGGTGGCAGACCAAATGTTGCAATTTTATTAAATTACTAGGTTTTCCCCAAAAGAAATCAGTTGCGTATTGCAGAGTTACCTTCTCTTGGGTATTGATTGTTACGTCACTTGTTTGTGAGAGTAACGTCATCAGTTTTTGAGAAAACGACGTAATTTTCTCACACAAACCAATGACGTAACAATCAATACCTGCTCCCAAGAAAAGATAACTCTGCAATACGCAAAGACGGAATACGTTATAGAAGAACTTTTGCTAAGCATAAGGAAGTTGTCATTCAGCTGTTCTCTGTGCTGGGGCCTTACTAAGCCGTTATTTATATATTTATACTGAATCTATGAATCAATTCCAGAAAAATAGTATGCATGTTTACATTAGGTCTTCGACTTTTAGCAGAAATGTTTCAACATTTAGTAGAATAAAAATTCATGCAGAGCAGATGATAATGTTAAAAATTGTCTTTGATTAACGATTCGGAATCAAATCTACCTGAGTTCAAATCACTGGTATAATTCTTTAATAGATTCAGGATTATGTTGTCTCCTGTGTACCTGTGCTAATATAAATAATAAAATAAGCTTCCATGTCAGAAATATAGAAATCATTTATTGGGCTCCATCAGATGACATTGGGGAAAACAGGCAACTGTGATTATTTCATTTCAACAGAAGTTCATAGTTTTGTCACATGAAATAGTCGAATTTGACGAAAATTGTTGTTGTTGATGTTTGTTAGAATAGAGTAATATGTGTGTGAAGGATATTCCTGTGGGAGGGAAAATCTTTTACTGGCATGTAATTGTTTTCTTTTTTAAAGTGTATAAAAGCTATATTTGTTTTCCATAAAACACATTATGACTTGGGCCAATAATGAAACCTTTCTCATGCTCAAGCTCATATTCTGTTTTTTTCGACAATAAATTAGTAACAAAAAATCATTTTTTTGTCAAATATTTGAAAGAAATTTGGAGAGTCTGAAAGTTGAATACCATCTGCAAGGTTAAAATTTGACGTTTTGACCGTGACACCAGATTTGAGTGAGTTACAGGAAAATCGGTTTGAGCACAGAATCCGTTCTAGAGTAAGAAAACGAATAACGGTAACATTGATACGGATCCGGTTCCTTGTCTTGAACTCATGATAATACATGATGCATCAAGTTGGCTTGACCAAAAATATGAATATACGAAACTTATCAAATTTTGTTCATATAAACAAATCGGTGTATATATATCAGCATATTTATGTTCCTTTTAATATGTATCCACATCAAACCGTTTATAAAATGTTTTGAAACGATTTTGGATTCCACAATAACGATAATGTTTTATGCAACTTGGCGTAACAGAATATTATTCTGTGTCTTTATACATTTAACAGGGAAAAAAGGAAGAACTCCATATATGGAAGGACGGTATCGTATAGCAACGGGCAGTCAAGCAATTTGAATATCGATGTTGGCTACAGCGAGGTGGTTCTCGAAGGTAATGTGAATGGAGATCAGGCGTACGATCTCGTTCAACCAATGAACCTTGGCAATGACGGGAATTATAGCATAGCGATGTCTGATGTCAAGGGCCCAAGATCTGAGTCCCCAACTCAAACAACGGCAACTAATAACTATGGTTATGGTGTACTCGGCGGAAAGCGCGCTGAAAATGATGACAACGACATGTATTCTCACGCAAGAAGAATGAATGACACAGGGGAGTATGACGCGTTTGACAAGCGCGACAGGGATACAGATGTAAATGACTTGTACGATCACACTCGAGGTATTACGATGGAAAATCAGTATGACGAATTTCAGAAACGGAAATAGTGTCAAAACATGAACAAACATTTTCAGGATGATACAGAAGAACTTCTGTGGACTGACATTTTTTCGATGTTTCTGTTTGACCACTCTCATTCTAAATATTTAAGAATCGCCAAAAAAGAGCTGATCATGAACAACTGAATATGTAATGATAACATACTCCAGTTCAATAGCACTTTGTATCGCTTATAATCGTTTTTATCCTAGATGGGAGATCAAAAGGAATTTTGTGTTTTGTATGTTATGTTTGACTAGATTCGTTAATACAATGTAGTCGTGGGAATCCGAATGTTAGGAAAGTTTATATGTGCAGATGTGTGTTATTTGTTGTTGATTTTTTTTTTTTTTTTTTTTTTTTTTTTTAAANAAGCTTTAAAACAAATACTAGATTTCTATTGTATTCCATTATAAATGAATGATAGTTTTTTTTCATAAATTCGCGGGAAAGTCTTTCATGAATATATACATGTATAAAACACTATTACGTTGAAACGTTACTAGCTTTAATCGAGCATATTTTCTCTCATTGTATCTTTAATAAGTCGTTTTTGAGAAGGAACAAACATATCCTGCTGTTTTCGCCATGGACCTATTCGATGCTGCTGAAATTATGTATGATTGTATATACGTATATTATAAAACAGTATTATCCAATTTATCGTTCGATGATTTGCTTTAAATATACACTGTAGCACTAAAAATATACAGTTTTAAACTGTTCATATTATTCAAGCGCTATATCAATTCTATGTTATATGGCTGTGTCGTCAAAACAATATAACTTTGTCTTTATCACAAGAAAGTTGTGTCTTTGTGAGAGAAAAAAAAACAGTTTTTACGAAACAAGAAATGGTTACTTATCCGTTAACCATGAGTAGAAACTCGCTGAGGCTTTCCACGGGAAGGTAACCATTTGTTTTACAATGAAATGGTGTGCTAGTCGTATACGTCATTAGAAATGACGCAAAAATAAATATATTTGGTTAGAAGACACAATAGGATTGACATTTAATATTCATTATATAATATTTAAATAATCATTCTCATGTATATATTGCAGTGAGATTCAATCGGTTTTCTTTTTGGCAATTATCTTGAAATATTTCCGCAGCATTAAAAAAGACATTAAATTAACTTTATCTTAATATCGCTTTGAAAATTATGTTGACATACGTGAGTCGGACGTCGGTAGCAGATATATGTCATTTAAGTTTTCAGAAAATTTCAAAAGTTATTATTTGAAGCTTGATAACTAATGGTTTCACTAACACTATATCCTATTAAAACACTTTTTATTTCAATATGGAATAAAATACTACCATCCTGTTGCATTGTTTGCGTTTCATGGTCAGCTGTCATTATAGCTAACAATTTCAAAACTTCATATTCATCAATGTTCATAGTTAATAACATTAGTATTTATAGTTTAAAAAAATAACATAAATAAAATACATATACGTATGCATGCATTTAGCACAGGAGCTAGGATTACACTTGGAATCTCACTAACAAGAATAATGAGTATATCACATATAGCTATAGGATAAATAAAACATATTTGCTTAAGAAATTCCTCGGGTGCATCATTCTTATGCGGTTTGTCAATACGTATTATTTTCCCCAAAAGTGTCTATTATGATTTTAGGATAAAGTTTCTTAGCCAAATTCTTTACATAGTCAGAGTCTGAAGCAACGAACAAGTTATAATATATTAATCCTCCATGTTTATGACGCATTTCCACAGAAAGGCCAATGGTATTTCCATTAGTCTTCTCAAGTCTCCTGGTATATTAGGGTTACCCAAAACACGTACCAAATACAAATGTACTAAGTACAAGGTAAATTATACAGTCTTGTTAATATGGTCACAAATTATTATGCTATCCCATATCTAGTCAGTGTGTAAGGTGACATAATCTCACAATTATTGTAACAATCTACTGCTGGGTGCTTTTGCTATGCGATAGTTTGTTATTATTTCAATTGATGTTGAGCCCCCTGAGAATCGCAGGGGTTTCTTCTGTGTCTTCTTTGTCTGGTAGTCCCTTCATTACAAATAACTCTTTATCTTTTCTCTTCTTACATTTTTTTTTTGTCTGGCCGCCACGAAATAGCAGAGTTGTTGCTTTTCCGGCGATGGCGATGGCGGCGTCAACATTAAGTTTTTGCGTTTAAGTTAGTTTCACTGAAAGTAGAAGTGCTAGACCAACCAAACTTGAACCATAGATTCATCTTAAGAATTACATATCAACCCATGCATCAAGTGCTGAATGGGGCCTACCTTTCATGGTCCATTGCTTTTGTCAGCATCTCCATCGACATTCAGTTTTTGCGCTTAAGATAGTTTTTCTGAAACTATAAGTTCTAGACCAAACAAAAATGACATGTGCATTGATGGTCAAAGCGGGGCACAGGCGAGACATATCAATCCGAATGGCTTGTTTCCTTCTGACTTTCCACAAATATATTTCCTTATCTATTCTGGAACGTTTATCATTGAAACATATTTTACCGTATGACCTTGTACAGTTTTATCTTGTTCGTTGTCGGTTAAAGCTTTTTTTTAAAAATCTATTTAAATAATAAAGTTTATCCAAGATGAAGGCATATTGTATATGCTATATAAAGGGAATTTAATGGTTTTCCGTTGAAAACCATCCGTATTTAACGAGTACGGCAACATACCGATATTCTTTACAAGTGCGAGCACCGGTGAAAACAATTATCGGGATATTCAACAATTCGAGTGAAATATGCATGGGATTCAACGGATGGCAAAACTAATAAAATTTATATTTGTTATATTTTTTTAAAGTACATGTAAAGCATCGCAACGATTGCTGCATCAATAGTGCAGGAATTATAAGCCATATATTTGACGCAGTGCTCTAACTACGTCACTAGTTGACTAGATTAAGTCTATTGGCATATTCGGGTGAACAACCTTAAAGTACGTAGTAAAAATCTGGTAAAAAGTGAAGTATCGTCAATCATTTTCTTGAGGTTTTAATTAATGTAGAGAACTGGGGGGATTCCTCCTACGACTCGAATGTCTGTTGAGATATACCTTTATCTTTTCCGTTCAAAAATATCTTCTTATACCTGCTTCATGTGAATTTCTTTGTTTCTGTCTTGGCATGCTTACCATTTACGCATAAAAACTTGCGCGGTTTATTTGTTTGTTGTCCGTCAATTAACAAAAAATAACTGAATAGATAAATTGTACCAGTGATGATGACATTCATATGTTACATAAAGAATTTTCAATGGTTTTCTGTTGAATACTATATGTATAAACACGTAATGATACATGTACACGTAATCTACCGTTTGGACGTGTATTACTTTATTTTGGTGTTTTGCTGTTAAATCTGTAAAATACAAATACATTTTACCTATGTTGAAGACATTTTGCAAATGCTATATATATTTATTTTGTTGGCTAAATGATACTGTTTATATTCATGAATATATTCGTATTTTCACTAGTTTGTTTTTTAAAATAATACAATTGTACATATATCAAAAAAGGACTTTAAAAAAAGGTGGATACATTTCCGTTTAAAAAGAATGTGATAAATTACCTAATGGAAATGAAGGTGACTAGATTAGAATTGTACGATTTTATTTTGTTGTTTTGTGGTTAAAATATGTAAAATATAGATTAGGTCACCAACGATGTAGACATTTTGCATATTCATTTTGTCGACTGAACAATTGTTTCTTTAAATAGACATAATACATATTCGTTTTTATTGTCGTTTACCTGGGTTTTTCTTTTCTTTTCAAATAAATGCATATGAAATATTATATGAACAGAAAAGAAGGTGACTAGATTATCTTATGGAAATGAAGGTGACAGGATCATCTTACGATGAGGGAGATGGCCGGATTATACCTAAGTACCAGCCGCTAATGTTTCATTTGGAAACCCTCTAACACGAATAAGAAGAATATCGCTTGTACCAATGGCATAGAAATAATTTTTAATTATTGTTGGGGTTTTTGCAATACTTTAGCAGTATCCTTTATAAGCGGTTTGTCATTATCTGTTTTTGTCCAAGCAGAGCTAGTGGCAATGAACAAATCACATTTCTCAATGTGTATTCCTTTGTGTCTGTCTTGGCCATTCTCGATACGCCAGGGGTTACGCTCATATTCGCTCTCTGCAACCCATGAATATGTCATCAAAATTGAAGGTTCAGTGTGAACCACCTAGTGGATGAGACAAGAAGACTGCTAGTAGTTTGATCCAATAATCTGCCATTCGCATCACGGTAAATTTGATTGGCTTCTATGTATTCGTCAAAGGACAGGTATCTGCCTTCGCGATCGGCCAGGTGTTCTTTAACTGAGACCAATCAAATAGCTAGTCGTGTGCCTTCAGTTTTGCTTGGACATATTCGGGGTGCACAGAGAGCGAAAGTGAGCGTTACTCCTGGAGTATCGAGGATGGTCTTGGCATGTTTTACACAATTCTAGCGTGTGTCCTTGTGCGGTTGTCTGTTAAAGATTAAGAATAAATAAATAAATAGGGTTTACCAATGTTGAAGACAGTTTGCATGGTATATATAAATATTCCTTTTGTCTGGTAAATAACTGGTTTTAAGGTCACCTGAGACAAAGTCTCAAGTGACCTATTGCGATCGCCTTTTGTCCGGCGTCGTGCGTCGTGCGTCTGTAAACAATTTACATTTACTACTTCTTCTCCAAAACCCCTGAACTAATTTCAATGAAATTTTGCAGAAACTTTCCATGGCCAAAGGTCAAGCAAAATTGTGAATTATATGGCCCCCAGCCCCCAGGGTCCTGAGTGCGGGGGCAAAAAGGGTCAAATTTTGGACCAGCATTTGTTTAATTTCCATTGAAATTAATTCAAACTTGGTTAGCATTATCAGTATTGGTTAGCAGTTTGATGGTATGCACATATCAGCCCTGACTGATCCCCAGGGGCTGATGGGTGTGGCCAAAAAGGGTCGAATTGACTGAAATTTTTAAAATATTCTTCTCAAGATTCAGATATGGTAGAATCAAATACCCTTCATAGATGGAAGGGTCTTAAGGTGCTGTCCCAAAATTATGAATTTCATGACCCTGGGGTCTCACGTTTCTTCCTGGGGAGGGGGTAAACTTTACTATAGTTTAATTGTGAATTATATGGTCCCCAGTCCCCAGGGGCCTGAGGGGCGGGGCCAAAAAGTGTCAAATTGACTAAAATATCAAAAATCTTCTCAATATCCAGATATGGTAGAATCAAATACTCTTTATAGATGAAAGGGTCTTAAGGTGCTTTAACAAAATTCAGCTGACTGAAAGAACCAGATATTTTTTCACTGTATATCAGTCTGAGTTTGATCCGGGAGACTCTGCCGTAAACCAATTACTTTATATAACAAATGATATAAGTAAAGCAATAGATAATGGTAAATAAATACGAGTAGTGTTTTGTTATCTAAGCAAAGCTTTTGACAGGGTTTGGCATAAGAGTTTATTATATAAATTGAAAGCAGGTATATCTTCAAATGTTATTAAATGGTTTGAAGGTTATTTGAAAACTAAACGATATAACGGATTTTCCACAAGGATCAATACTTGGGCCTCTATTATTTCTCATCTACATTAACGATATTGTTAGTAATCTGAGGTGTAATGTCAAACTTTTTGTTGAAGATGTCTCTCTTTATGTAATAGCTGATGATCCAAATGAAGCTAGAAATATTATGAATAACGATTGAAATACTATTCAAAAATGGGCAAATACATAGTTGGTAACATTCAATCCAAATAAAACCGAAAGCTAACTTGTAAGAAGAAAAGCTTTGAGACCTGATCATGGTTATTTATATATGAATATTAGTGCTTCAACTTAAGTTTAAAATCATAAACATCTTGGTATTTGGTTTTCATCAAATTGTTCATGGCATGTTCATATCAATCATGTACTAGACTCAGCATCAAAATGTTTATTTGTACTAAGGAAATTGACGTTTTAACTTGATAGGAATTCTTTACAAACTATTTATATCTTATTTATAAGACCTGACCTAGAATACGTCGACATAGTTCGGGACAATGTTCCTAAATATTTAAGCTACAAATTAGAAAGTTTTCAATTAGAAGCAGCAATAATTGTTACAGGGGGTAGAAAATGAGCTAGTAAAGAACTTTTGTATAGAGATATCAAGTTGGAACAATTAGCAAAACGTCGCAAAAAAAAATAACATAATACAGTTTCACAAAATGGTCAACGACAAATCACCTACCTATCTGTCCTCACTAGTCCCTACAAGAATATCTGAAAACCACACATACAATACAAGAAGAACTGACTTACACTCAACCCTTAAAACCCGCACAAATATATACATAAAGACTTTTTTTACCCTCATCGATTCCGGTAAGGAACAGACTACCACAAAATATAAGAGGAAATTCAACAGTACATAATATGCTAAAAACTTATCTCAGCAATACAACACACGCTCCAAACTACTTCAACTCAGGTAATAGCAAATGTCAATTACTCCCCTATAGACTCTGACTCAATTGTAGCTCACTTAACGAATATTTATTTCATAAAAACTTTATAGACTCATCACATTGTTCTTGTGGGTTTGCCATAGAAGATATTTATCTTTATTAAGTATCTGAATATAGCTGTTGTTGTTGCTGTTTAACCGTCGTCGTCATCAGCCAGTTCCATCCATCGTCGAGGGTTTCAATCCCTACCCTGGAACTCTTTCCGGATGGTGGGTCAGCAGGGGTGATCAATCCCTACTCTCCGACGGTTGGATTCCAGCTGCTGTCTCCTCTCGGCATCCACTGCCATCGTGATGCCCGTTCCGCTTCGTTCCCCAACTCTCTCACTGCCGTCTTCCTTACTCCTCTCGTGATACCGAGGGCTCCGAGCATCCTCCAGCACGATTGGGCCGGGAATCCTCTGCAGCCTACTTCCACAGGAAAGTTCCATGCCTGCCAGCAATTTTCTGCCACACTCCTCTGTCAGCTCCGCATACTTCTTGCTCTTCTTCCGATCGTGCGCTGATTCACACCTTGTCTCCCACGGCACATTCAGTTCCATTATCACCAGTTTCGTCTTGCTGGGTGATAACAACACTATGTCCGGTCGTAGTGTTGTCTCAAGGATCTCCGGAAAAAAACAATTTCCTCCCTCCAAGATCCACACGTATCTCCCAGTCTCCTGCACCTCCAAGAATACCCAGGCTGGCACTCCTTGCTGTTCCCGACGGTGTCTGTCCCTCTCTGTGGAACCAAATGAACGTTGGTCCCCTTTGTGTTCCATGTGTTTTCTTCCTTTCCCTAGGGGGGTGGGGTCATGAATTAAATGATGATAGGGTCAATTCTGAAATATTTCTTGCCGTACAGGACTTAATCATCAACAACAAACGGTGTTTGCTTTAATAATAGGCACTTGTATTTACACGACTGAGGTTACACAAAGTTTTAAGTTTAGTTTAATTTTGTCATTTCTTTACCTTCTTTACTTCTATTCAATGTACCAGTAAATAGCTTACAGCCGATGTGCTATAAATTCTATAAATAATTACATCTTCGTATCTCGTAACCGTTCTGTCAATCTGTCATCAATAATATGTGCAAAGGTCCATGTAAACTGTGCCGTAATGTCCAATAGAGGAGAGGAATTAGGGTAAGCTCTTAGCTTGTTTTCCTATCCTCTTTATTCTATGTTTTGTGAAATTTGCTTAATGTGCCAAAAAAATGGAAATAATGTTTAAACTAAAAAGGAGATAGAAGGACATTACCACAACAAATGAAAATATTCACCGATAGGGGTCACAACCTCAGGAATTGTGAATCACCATGATGATGAGCTGAATAGTAGACTAACCACAGTTTTTTTGAACTGGGATCTGATAAAAACGCACTTTATTTTAATAATTATTTCTTCAAATTTTCATTTGTATGAGGACAGTTAAGTACTACATATGTAAATACCCTTATTTGGTCATCGGATGCACGTGACTCCCTGTATTATGCATAAGATTGGTATGTCCGTTCAGTAACAGAAATATCGTGTCATAATGTTTCTTAACCATATTTATCAATAATAAGGTTCAACGTTTTGGCTGACGATTCTACGAATGCACACGTCATATAGGTCATCACATACGTACGGCCAGTCTTGACCAATGGAAATGCGAAATGTATCTATTTATATGCTTCGGTAGTACCTTGTCCGTACGTGGTGCATTACTAAAATTAAGCATTTCTGATTGAGACATTCTAGAAATGGCGCCTTCTGATTGGCTACAAAAACCGGAAAACTACGCAATGACTGGCTTTGGAATGCCTAACGGCGATTTTCAATAACATTGATTGATCTCTCACAGAATCCAGACGCACGCGGGTAGATCTACCTGGGATATATATCACAGGTAACTTGTCCAGGTGTCACTTGCAATGTTTTGTCATTACACGAGCACATCAACAGAAAGAAGTTCAAGGTAAGCGTTTATTGTACATATTGATATATCATAAATATTTATCTAATTAATCATCAAGAAATATCATAATGAACATATTCTCCGAAAATCCACGAATTATAATTAATCAACGTTTTTCTGTTTTATTTATTACTTTTAACCAGTGCTAATTATGAATTCTTATCTTGAAAACGAATACTGTTGCAATATATCTGGGTAATTAATTCGTTATAGTTTGGAAGTGTTTCATTAGAGAAATTATAACGGCTCTTTATTCGGATCTAAATTTGTGTTCATGTAGTTAAAAGAAAACCACTTCAATATCTGCATCCTAATCATAAAGACATAAAATTACCGCCTCGTTAAATAAAGGGGCGGCATGTAAGGTAATTTACATACATAACAATTTGGCGCAAAAACAACAATTAGGATATTCCAAAAATTAAGATAAGAAAGACGGCTAACAGGATGTATGATTTAATCCAATATCCAATATCCAATACAATAGCCAACGCACACCTTAAACAGGTCTATGTAAAGCTCTAACACTTTTTAGTAGGGATACGTTTTATTATTGATTATTTTTCATGTTTGTAATGTATAAATAAATGATATTTCGCTGTTAGTTTAGTACAAATCTTTTAAATCTGCTGTTTAAATTCAGTTGAGCACAGCAGAACCCTTTTTCAGATTTAGCATATGTTATTGCATTGAAATACAACAAGAAATAAGACCAGGTCGAAGATTTGGCAACATTTATAAACTCAGTGTAAAAGCTATCACGAAGATATGTATTACATCTATATTATTTAAACGAGATGAGGGTTGTTATTTTGTATATACCCGTATAGCGTGTTCCATATCACTATATTTTTAATTTTATCAATGGTGTTTTGCAAAAGGTGGATCCTTTCGCCCCAGTAATCACACATTGTTTAGTATCATAACTAACGATGAAATCTCCTTTTTAGGGTATTTGTTTCCAACAGATCAATATTTGCATTTTTTTTTTTTTAGAATTTTAAAGACTATCTCTTTTATACGTCAATCGGCTATCACAATGGTACAGTAACCTGGATTGCTACCTATCTATCAATTGTCTGAAACATCGCAGTCAGAGTGAATGATAGAATTGATTTCTGATTTATTAAGACATACAATGTGCTTTCCGTGGCAAACTAAACCGTAGTCATCGAGTTATATAACAGTGTTTTTTATCTCAAGAATTTCTCGTCAATTTAAAAATTGGCTACAGGTGACATTGTTCAATAAAAAAATTCGAGTTAAAAAAACATTTACATTTGCCTCGTTACCCATTCAATAAGTACATTGCAGTGTATATATTATTATTCTTTGTTGTGTGTGGGTTGGGGGTTATAACGTTTTCCTTTTGTTTTGGTGTCTCCTTTTACTAAGAGTATTCCGTCTTTACGTATTGCAGAGTTATCTTCTCTTGGGAGCAGGTATTTATTGTTACGTCACTTGTTTGTGAGAGTAACGTCATCAATTTTTGAGAAAACGACGTAATTTTCTCACACAAACCAATCTTACGTTGATTTGGCCGTTTATAAAACGTCATGCGGTGTAAACTGAAATAATAGTTTGTGACTGGTTTAGAGTGAAATTGTTACATGTAGAATATGAAACGAATTATACATATTATTTGTTGATAAAGAAAGGACTCTGTCGTTCGAGTTACAGTTAAAAATATAATAAAATGAAAACATTCATTGATCTTAGTTGTAAGCCTATCCGGTAACACTCCGGATGTCAGTGTAAAATTTAACGGGGTATATATATATATATTTGCATTTTTTTAAAATGGATTTGTAATAGTTTTTTCATCATTACTTTCAACGCTATCCTTGATTAATTAAATGGTATTCTTTAAACTGTAAAATTGCTGCATTTGTATTAAATGTTTTATTAAAGAAACAGTATAAAGTATCGTGTTTCGGTGGCTTAAATCAAACAAATGAATTACTATTAACTTGAAAATCAAGTAAAATTGAAGTTGTTATTCCGGACTCAATGTTTGGACTTCAATATTTTACATTGCCTTCGGCTGATGTGATCGAAGACACACGATCCTGTCATATTGACGTACAGGTATGTTGGATACTTGAAACACTCGTACTTCCGGTTCTACATTATCATATTTATGATCCTGTAAATCTCAGTCGGCCTTCGTTGGTTCAAAGTCCATTTTGATGGAATCTATATAGGTACATGTATAATTTCAAATAAAAATTGCGAAAATAAATTTAAAAAAAGTCCTATTTGACAACGCCAACAACCAATTTCATATATATTGCTAAAATGGTTTATTTTGCTTGACCATGACTATAAATACTTACTCAGTACTTCCCCCCGAGGCGTACAATGTACCACACACGCTGTTTACCAAGTGTCCAGTTCGAAATGACCCCAAGAAACAGACGTTCCGTCGCCAATGTTGCGCGAAATTGTCCTCAAAATCTTAATCCACATATATACACACCGATGTCATCGTCTTGATATATCGATCATGTATATATAACTTGTCAATTTTTGGGATATTTTTCCTTCATCAGATGACATTGACAGAGTTGCCTCAGTAAAGATCCCACTTGGGGATTTCTTGTTATATATCTATGACATCATTTCTATATATAGATATGGCTAATGCTATTGTCTAATGTATAAAAGGGTTTCATTTCAAGTGATTTCTTTTCTGAATTATAAGTATTTTCATGTATTAAACTGAGTATAGTGTGTCTATGTGATTTTCATTGCTTTTCATTCATTGAAATCCAAGACAAATATTGCTGATATTTCTCCCAAGGGAAAAGAAGATGTCTGTTATTTAGTGTCTTGGAATTAGTAAAATTGCAGTACCTTAAGTTAATATATTAACATTTGCGCGGCCACTATATGAACATTACCAGCAGAAATGCAATGCCCCTACGTCAAAGACTCAAATGACTAGGGTTAATTAATATTTTTGGCCCCAATTTGATTAAAATAAGGATGTTCCGCCAATGTCGTTTAAAGGACGACGCATAAACAAAACGAAGTAAATAAATAAATTATTTAAGAATAAATAGATAAACTCAAAATATTTGTTCTATAGTAAAAATGTTAATATATGGATTGAACGGGTTTTTTTTTAATGAAAATCGGTTACATCCATATTACGCCCGACCGGGCTTCATGCAGTATGGATGTAACCGATTTGCGTTCATACCGGCCTGAAAATAAAAATAAAACGCTGTTCAATCCCTATATGGTACAACTAACGTAAGAAAGATACGTTAACTTTACCAAAAACAAACAAAAATTACACGAATTCATTGCATGGTAACATGTTTGCAATGATAGACCAGAGTTGTTAAACATCTCTTAAACGATTGCTCGAAGAGATCATACCAATAATTCCTCTTTCCGTAAAACTTTCTATAAAAAGGATCAGTAATTTACATGTTTTACATGTATTTTTTTTTTTTTTTCTTTTTGCCAACAAACAAATTGGCAAAGACATTTCGCACAAAAAAAGTCTTGAATAATATCTGTTTTCATTTTGAACGTGTTATGTATACTCCCTGTTAGGTAAATAATACGATGGTAAAATTCAACGTCTGACGAGCAGCAGGAAACTGAAATAAAGTTTCCCCTCAGACTCCTAGAATACAGGCAAATTTAATTTTGAATTTCAAAAGTTCTGAAAATATATATAAAAAAGGTATTACATGAACTTGAGCTATGCTAACGTAAACAAATACGACAGTCATACATGTATGCTGTATGTAACACGATTTTTCATTGGATAAAAATTGCATGATTAACCATGTCAGAATTAACATGCTATTGCGGTTTCCGCACCTATGCGAGATAATTCTCATTCATTCACTCATTGACAGGAAGTCGTGACTGGCACTGTTCAAACCGAACATAAATTGTGGTTTTCCATTCACGCTTGATTCGCATACTTTCCCGCCCCCACACAAAGTGAAGTCATCCTTTCTTTCTTTCTTTCTTTCTTTCTTTCTTTCCATACATGCATGCATGCATACATACATACATACATACATACATACATACATACATACATACATACATACATACATACATACATACATACATTTCGCGCCTTAGAAGTTTTGAGCTTAGATTGATTTTGATTTATCTATCTATATATTTCTTTTTTTTTCCAGATTGTTCAAGATGTGGAATTTGTCAGTTTGCGTCCTCTTCTTATTCATGTTATCCCGCGTTAGAAGTTTGCAGCTCAACGAGGCGGGACAATTCTTCAATAGCAGACGATACGGAGGTTTTGTCAGTGTTTCAGAAAACGAGAACTCGTAAGTTATATATATATATATATATATATAATCTACAGGGTAGGTAACATGAGAAGTATGGCGATGGTTACAGGGTAGATAACTTTCAGTGAGAGTGACGGCATAGGAAGCAAGGGAGATAACTTCTAATGATCGATCAATTAGAATGACAAAAGGGGTTATTTGTGTGGTACAGTAACAGTGTGACAGGGAGGGAGGATCAAATCGAAAAAAAACACCATTAATCCTCTTACTATCTGATGCAATACATCATTTTTATGCATTCAATATATGCTGCTGAATAATTATCGTTTTAAATTGTCTTATCACCAGATTCATCATTATGTCTAACGGTGTGCCTGACCACGCCCCCGATACCCAGACATCACAACCAATCATACTTCGGAACAACGTCTTTAATGTTCCGAAGAACCCCACGATAGCAGAAGAACCCGGATGTCTCCCGATGGGACCAATAGGAATATCTCGGACCGGCGTGGTTATCTTTAACCCTCTCAACAGAGAGGGTCAGAATGCCGTGGAAGGTGACACAGCTGAACAGCTAGATGAATGTAGTGGTCATGCAGACCGCATGGGCGTCTACCACTACCACGCCCTTCCTACAAACTGTCTATACAAGGGAGAAGAAGACGAACTGATTGGTGTAGCACGTGACGGGTTTCCTATTTACGGACCAATGGCGTCTGACCTTAAACGAGAGGTCATGAACTCTGACCTTGACGAATGTCACGGTCGGTTTGTAAACGGACAGTACCGATACCATGCTACCAACCAATTCCCATACTTCCTTGGGTGTTTAAGGGGAACCATGCCCCGTCGAATGGGGGAGCCGACGAGAACCTGCAATGAAACGTCAGGTAGGTCTCAAACAATATGTACATGTACTAAGTCAAGCTTATTTTAAGTGGTCCCTTAATGCAGATGACCCTTAGGTTTGATTCATGGTTTAAAGTGGTCGCTTATCACAGGTTGTCTCTTAATGGAGGTGATCTCTTATTGGAGGTGGTCTCTCAATGGAGGTGGTCTCTTAATGGAGGTGGTCTCTTAACAACAAACTGGAGGCAATGAATTAACGCAATGGAGAACACTAAATGTCGCCTTATGAACATTTGGCCCTAAATTTTGAAAATTGTTCATGGGACGTAAACATCAAAAGTGGTCGCTTAACACAGGTAGTCTCTTAATAAAGTTGGTCGTATAAGCATATTTGAATCCACTGCAAAGTATAACGGACGCGGTTTGTAGCCAAGTTATAAATTATAATCCGCTTTGTGATAAAGTATAAAGACATCCTCTATTTTTTTTAGTTACGGAAGTATCCGACAATATATCGAAACTACCGTACCTTTGAAATAATCATGTAAAGGCGTAATCATTTAGGTTTATTTTGGTTAAAACATGGAGATCCGTACTATCTGACATTCCCAAGAATTCCTGCTTATTATTCTTACAAGAAATTTGATTGCGGATGTCAAAAATATCTCGAATTCATTGTTAACAGGAATTCGTAATTTAGCATAACTCTTCGGAAATTGACATTTCTATGTATCGCAGTGTTCGTACACAAAATGTTTGACAAGGATACATGTACCTGTAGTCTTATTTCGGTACATGTTTTACCAACCCGTCTCATAACGGAACTATGTATGTGTATATTACTATGGTGTACCGGACAGAGATATTTCATGTTTTATGGTCCTCTGTGTGTGCTGCATGTAATGCGAGAAAACGGAAAACAATCAATCACCCACTGAACTCAGTTTCATAAACGCTCTTCAGCTAAAAGGTACCTATGTTCTCAACTGACAGAATTATCTTAAATTTAGGATAGTTTAGGAAACTGGGATCTTTGTGTCATTGTGCCATGTAGACAGAAAAGTATCTACCTTCAGAATAAGACAGGATTGTTAAGTGTCCTCAACTTAGCTAAGCCTCGTTGTGGACAAAGAAAAATATCACCCTCTGATTGAAATTTCCCTGTCACCACAACAGTGATGATCTATTTTAACAGTGTATTACAATCAACTTGAATTCGAAATAAAGTTTAAACCAGAAACAACTAATTGCATATAATATCTTCTATTTTGCATTGCAGCTTTCGACAAGCAATGGGGCTACTTGTGTGCATGCGACAGACCTAACACCACGGACAGGCAGGGTCAAGGTCGTTTCTCGCCGGTGTTGGGAAGGGACGGATCTCCACGACCTATGGGGTTTATCCCAGGCCAGGGTCAAGACCCGTTTGGAAGAAGACAGATGAGTCCAGGTCCCATGGTGGGAGGACAAATTCCAGGACAGGTTATGATTGGTCCTAACGGACAGCCAATCAGCACAGCAAATCAATTTCAAATCGGCCCCAATGGGCAGATAGTTAACGGCGAAAATCAACTCCAAATTGGACCAAATGGACAAATAATTGGTAGAGGAAACCCAATGCAAGATGGTGCCAATGGACAACTACAGAATCCCGGAAGTCAACTTCAAATTGGTCCGAACGGAAATCCTATTCAAATGCCTATATCGACAGGTCCTAGTGCTACTCAAGGACAAAGACCTCTGGGATTTTTACCTTCACAACAACAAGGAGAGGGAACTGAACAAGCAAATGGAAATCCAGTACAAGGACAGATTCCGAGACCTCTCGGATTTTTACCTACACAACAACAAACTGGAGGAGAGCAAGTGTCTATTGGACCAAACGGTCAAATAATTAATTCTGAAAGTCGAATTCAAATTGGTCCTAACGGAAACCCAATTCAGATGCCTATTATGACAGGTCCGGGTGCTATTCAAGGTCAAGCACAGAGACCTCTCGGATTTATGCCTGCACAACAGCAAGCTAGAGGAGAACAAGTGTCTATTGGACCAAATGGACAAATTATAAGCTCGGAAAGTCAAATTCAATTTGATCCAAACGGTAACCCTGTTCAAATGCCTATATCGACAGGTCCAGGTTCCATTCAAGGACAAAGACCTCTCGGATTTTTACCAACGCAACAACAAGGAGAGGGAACTGAACAATCAAATGGAAATCCCGTACAAGGACAGATTCCGAGACCTCTCGGATTTTTACCTACACAACAGCAAACTGGAGGAGAGCAAGTGTCTATAGGACCAAACGGTCAAATAATTAATTCTGGAAGTGAAGTTCAAATTGGTCCTAACGGAAACCCAATTCAGATGCCTATTATGACAGGTCCGGGTGCTATCCAAGGTCAAGCACAGAGACCTCTCGGGTTTATGCCTACACAACAGCAAGCTAGAGGAGAACAAGTGTCTATTGGACCAAACGGTCAAATAATCAATTCCGGAAGTCAAATTCAAATTGGACCTAACGGAAACCCAATCCAGATGCCTATCATGACAGGCCCGGGTGCTATTCAAGGTCAAGCACAGAGACCTCTCGGGTTTTTACCTACACAACAACAAAGAGAGGGTGGACAATTTTCAGGAAACCCAGGACAAGGACAGATTTCAACTCCACTTGGATTTTTGCCTGGACAAGAGATAGGCAGACAACAACCCAATGGAATGCAAAGACAGCAGACACCTCTCGGATTTTTACCAAGACCATCCGTTGAAGGTGCTGAACAGTTGACCAGCATGCCCGGTCAGGGTCAAATACCAAATGTTAATGGCCGTCCACCTTTTCCAGGGGCTTTCCCCTTACCTCAAAATGGCGAACAATCGAACAGTGAACAATCACGCTTCGCAAACGGTGTCGCTGAAAACGGTGAACAACCACGTACTGTAAACGGTATCCAACAAAATGGCGAGCAACCACTTCCGATATTCGTTAACGGTGTTGCACAGAACCCGGATCAGCCAATGACGAGACTGGTAAGGACACAGAACGGTCAAGTAATCTCTGTATTGGTTAACTCTGGTTCTCAGAATGGACAGACACTCACCGTCCCCCGCGTCGATCGACCGATAGGGAACAATATTCCAAGGTTCGAAGTTCGCCGCTTCGGTCAGCCACCTACCACCTTCTTGACACAAAATGGCGGAATGATTCCAACTGCCAACCCACAAGTTCCAGGGCAACCACCAATGGTAGGGCCTCCGTTTGTAAGGCAAAATGCAAACGGGATGGGAATAGGGCCTCAAGGTCAAGGACGATTTCAACCTATTAATCCTTCACCTTCATCAAATGCTGCAGTTCAAGGTCAAACTGAAACCATAGAAGGTCTAGAGATCCTTGATAAATCTACTCAAGAAAATAATCAGGAGATATCCGATTCCTTGTTACGAAAACCTTTTGATGGTCAACGGCGACGGTTGCCTGGTTTTGGTCAGTATGGTAGATATCATATGTTCAACATGTATCTAGGGGACAAGTTATGATTCCATCCAGACAAAGGAGAGGTGTATGCGAGATATAAAGTCACCAAAGAGCCAGTAAGAGGTCGGCGTCCACCCCATTTTGCGTGAGAAGAACTTTAGCTCAGTACGCAATTGGAAGTGAAGTTTGATATAGTACTACATCTAGTAATACCGACCGTTGAGTGAGGAGACTTTCGTTGAGTACTGTTCACCGTTCCGTATTATGGAGCTACGACTTTGAGATAGTATAGCCGAACTTAAAACAAAGATATTGTTGTATATAACGATCAACTTTACGACTTTGGATACTGCCGAACTTTGTGCAAGAATGTCGTTAAGGTATACTGAACGTTTAGCAATTGACAGTAGCTGTTTGAGAGCAAATGTTGTTTAGGAGAGATATTGAACCGACATATTTCAAATTTATGGTGCAAAATTAGAATTCACCAAAAAGCGCGACTGTATGGTTTATCGGTCGTGTGTCAAATAAAACACTTTTGTAATTTTATAGAAATATGGAAAACTAAATAATGTAACAGTGGAAATTGTCGAGAACGCAAATTATTGCATATTGACGCTTCGTACAATTCGCGGAGAGGATATTTTCGCGTTTGAAATGTAGCCGTAATGTATATCTATAATTCCGCGTAAATATTTCACGCAGATTTAACATATCGCGTAGAGAATATGTCAACAGCGAAAAAATGTTTTTTTTACAGTATATAAATCAATATTGTGTATGTGAGAATGAGATATTATATTTGTTTGTGTGAGAGTCTCCTTTCTGTAGAATTCATATAATATTATTTGAAATAAGTCAGTCAAACAGTTGTTGTACATTGTATGTATTTACCTTTTATAAAGTTTATAATATAGTTTCTAATGTTTGATACTTAGGAGGGAGATAATTACAGGAAGGGCCATCCTTAATGTTGAATATGTAAATTAATGAATATGAAATCCATAATTCTGTGTTGTAAACAAATAAAAATATGAACTTAAAACGAATTTGTGTTGATGAAAACAAATTACATAAACTTAATCTTTAAGAATGTATGTTACAATTTACATCCTACTTTACTGTGACGGCAGTTCCATATTAAGCTGAATGAATCTTCTTAAATATGGTATTCTATAAGGAGGCCTACTATGACCATATATGTCCAGTGTAGTTTGGAGCTTAGCATTTGTGTGCTAAATTTCCCATCAAAATGAACCCTGCGGTAATTTTAAAATATCATCTTTGGTTGAAATCACAATACAATTACCTGCCTTGCAAGTGTCTATGGAAACCTGGAGTCACTTCGGATACATTTATTTGCATCCCAGAAAAGAAGGTCCAAATATTGGCGGAGTTTTCTTTTAAAGGTAGATTTGCTAACATTTGGCACCGGGAAATAATAGTATAAGCTCGAATTCATAATTTCTTATTTACTTCATCAACGCTGCAAACTAGAAAACAAATATCTGTGCCCATCAGCAGAAGTTGTTTACGAATTAGTAAGTTACATGTAAATATCGCGATTTAACTTAGATAATTTCTTCGCTCGCCTAAACTGTATGCCCGTAGGCTCCGATCCATCAATTAACTACACCAGTGACAGGTTTTGTAAGATGAGGTACAGTTGTACGCTTCCTTCTCTAGGTAAACGATAGTTGAGTCAGTCTACATGTCACGAAATGTTATTCAACAAAAGTTCTTGATTTTTTTTTTAAAGAGGTACCGAATATTCAGGCCAAACTTTTACGAACGTTACTCCGATAAGGAAGTTCCATAACAGTAGTTTGTACGTCGGTAGGCATTATGAGAGTGAATTGAAAATCTTCAGGAAATTGTCCTTCAATTCAGCTGAAATTAAGCAATGATTTAATAGGCAAATAACTTGAGAAAAATATCTTTAACTTAGTAAAATTGTAAAACTAAACAAAAACATATCAACTTCATTAAGAGTTACAGAAGACACTACACATATATCTCCATACAGAGTTACAGTAGACACTAGACACATATCTCCATACAGAGTTACAGTAGACACTTGACACATATCTCCATACAGAGTTATAGTAGACACTAGACATATATCTCCATACATAGTTAGAGTAAACACTAGATATATATCTCCATATATAGTTACAGTAGACACTACACATATATCTCCATACAGAGTTAGAGTAGACACAAGACATGTATCTCCATACAGAGTTACAGTACACACTACACATATATCTCCATATATAGTTACAGTAAACACTAGACATATATCTCCATACACAGTTACAGTACACACTACACATATATCTCCATATATAGTTACAGTACACACTACACATATATCTCCATATATAGTTACAGTACAAACTACACATATATCTCCATACCTAGTTAAATTACACACTACATATATATCTTTACACAGAGTTATAGTAGACACTAGACATCTATCTCCATACATAGTTACAGTACACACTACACATATATCTCCATACATAGTTATAGTACACACTACACATATATCTCCATATATAGTTACAGTACAAACTACACATACATCTCCATACCTAGTTACATTACACACTACACATATATCTCTACACAGAGTTATAGTAGACACTAGACATCTATCTCCATACATAGTTACAGTACACACTACACATGTATCTCCATACAGAGTTATAGTAAACACTAGACATATATCTCCATACAGAGTTACAGTAAACACTACACATATATCTCCATACAGAGGTACAGTAGACACTAGACATATATCTCCACACAGTGTTACAGTAGAGACTAGACATAGATCTCGATACAGTGTTACAGTAGACACTAGACATATATCTCCATACATAGTTACAGTACACACTACACATGTATCTCCATACAGAGTTATAGTAAACACTAGACATATATCTCCATACATAGTTACAGTACACACTACACATGTATCTCCATACAGAGTTATAGTAAACACTAGACATATATCTCCATACATAGTTACAGTACACACTACACATATATCTCCATATATAGTTACAGTACAAACTACACATACATCTCCATACCTAGTTACATTACACACTACACATATATCTCTACACAGAGTTATAGTAGACACTAGACATCTATCTCCATACATAGTTACAGTACACACTACACATATATCTCCATACATAGTTATAGTACACACTACACATATATCTCCATATATAGTTACAGTACACACTACACATATATCTCCATACATAGTTACAGTAGACACTAGACATATATCTCCATACAGGGTTACAGTAGACACTAGACATATATCTCCATACACATTTACAGTAAACACTACACATATATCTCCATACAGAGGTACAGTAGACACTAGACATATATCTCCACACAGTGTTACAGTAGAGACTAGACATAGATCTCGATACAGTGTTACAGTAGACACTAGACATATATCTCCATTCAGAGTTATAGTAGACACTACACATATATCTTCATACAGTTACAGTAGACACTAGACATATATCTCCATACAGACTTACAGTAGACACTAGACACATATCTCCATACAGAGTTACAGTAGACACTTGACACATATCTCCATACAGAGTTATAGTAGACACTAGACATATATCTCCATACACAGTTACAGTAAACACTACACATATATCTCCATACAGAGGTACAGTAGACACTAGACATATATCTCCACACAGAGTTATAGTAAACACTAGACATATATCTCCATACTGAGTTACAGTACACACTACACATATATCTCCATACATAGTTATAGTAATCACTAGACATATATCTCCATACAGAGCATATATCTCCATACAGAGTTACAGTAGACACTACACATATATCTCCATACAGAGTTGTAGTAGACACTAAACATATATCTCCATACAGAGTTACAGACGACAATAAACATATATCTCCATACAGAGTTACAGAAGACAATAAACATATATCTCCATACAGAGTTACAGAAGACAATAAACATATATCTCCCTACAGAGTTACAGAAGACAATAAACATATATCTCAATACAGAGTTACAGAAGACAATAAACATATATCTCCATACACAGTTATAGTAAACAATAAACATATATCTCCATACAGAGTTATAGTAGACACTAGACATATATCTCCATACAGAGTTATAGTAAACACTAGACATATATCTCCATACTGAGTTACAGTACACACTACACATATATCTCCATACATAGTTACAGTACACACTACACATATATCTCCATATATAGTTACAGTAAACACTAGACATATATCTCCATACACAGTTACAGTAAACACTACACATATATCTTCATACAGAGTTATAGTAGACACTACACATATATCTTCATACAGATACAGTAGACACTAGACATATATCTCCATACACAGTTACAGTACACACTACACATATATCTCCATATATAGTTACAGTAAACACTAGACATATATCTCCATACACAGTTACAGTACACACTACACATATATCTCCATATATAGTTACAGTAAACACTAGACATATATCTCCATACACAGTTACAGTAAACACTACACATATATCTTCATACAGAGTTATAGTAGACACTACACATATATCTTCATACAGATACAGTAGACACTAGACATATATCTCCATACACATTTACAGTAAACACTACACATATATCTCCATACAGAGTTATAGTAGACACTAGACCTATATCTCCATACAGAGTTATAGTAGACACTAGACCTATATCTCCATACAGAGTTATAGTAGACACTAGACCTATATCTCCATACAGAGTTATAGTAGACACTAGACCTATATCTCCATACAGAGTTATAGTAGACACTAGACATATATCTCCATACATAGTTACAGTACACACTACACATATATCTCCATATATAGTTACAGTACAAACTACACATATATCTCCATACCTAGTTACATTACACACTACACATATATCTCTACACAGAGTTATAGTAGACACTAGACATATATCTCCATACATAGTTACAGTACACACTACACATATATCTCCATACATAGTTATAGTAATCACTAGACATATATCTCCATACAGAGTTACAGTAGACACTAGACATATATCTCCATACATAGTTTTAGTAAACACTACACATATATCTCCATACATAGTTATAGTAAACATTAGATATATATCTCCATACATAGTTATAGTCACCACTAGACATATATCTCCATACCGAGTTATAGTAGACACTAGACAAATATCTAAAAACAGAGTTACAGTAGACACTAGATATATATCTCCATACATAGTCATAGTAAACACTAGATATATATCCCCATACATAGTTATAGTAACCACTAGACAGAGACCCCCATACAGAGGTACAGGAGACACTAGACATATATCTCCATACCGAGTTATAGTAGACACTAGACATCTATCTCCATACATAGTTACAGTAAACACTAGACATATATCTACACACAGAGTTATAGTAAACACTAGACACATATCTCCATACTGAGTTATAGTAGTCAATAGACATATATCTCCATACAGATTTACAGTAGACACTAGACATATATCGCCATACACAGTTTCAGTAGACAATGCACATATATTTCCTTATAGAGGATAGTAGACACTACACATATATCGCCATACATAGTTACAGTACACACTACACATATATCTCCATACAGCGTTACAGTAGACACTACACATATATCGCCATACATAGTTACAGTACACAATACACATATATCTCTACACAGACTTATAGTAGACACTACACATATATCGCCATACATAGTTACAGTACACACTACACATATATCTCTACACAGACTTATAGTAGACACTACACATATATCGCCATACATAGTTACAGTACACAGTAGACATATATCTCTATATATAGTTATAGTAAACACTATACATATATCTCCATACATAGTTGTAGTAAACACTAGACATATATATCCATACA